ACTTTGAAATCTGTGCTATGTAAAAGTAACCTCTAACTAGATAAGAAGGGTGTGGTAAACACACAGTCGTATTGATGATAATAATTCAGAGCATTTGATTAAAATGCAGCTCTGAGCATAAATAAGAATGGATTATTGCTTTAAGATCTGATAAACCCTTCTGAAGTTCAAGAGTTAGTCGCTTGAAGGGAGATAGAAGAAGTGGGGAGGAAAAGAATACTGTTATCACGAGTGGGTCGTTGATTTCACCACCGGTCGGAATTGGGTAGAAGTTTGACTGCTCTAGATATTCAAAACTAGGTTTACCTGGGTTGAGCAGTAAATATTTGGTCAGCATTGTAAAAGCTCAAGCTCTCATGATATTAGACAGCGTTTAGTTTATTAGAAATAGATGTTTGCTGGGGTCATGGATATTCGGGAAGAGTAGTATTTACACGTAAATGTTAGTTAAAATAGAAAGACATTGGTAATAGAGTGTTTTTAAAAAAGAGGACTGGTGAAAAATTTAGTCTTAGTTATAGATTATAGAGTAGAGACTGTTAAACATAGTGGAAGTTTAGTAATGACTTAAAATGCCATAAGTTGCGAGGGATCCGGCGTCATATCTGGAACTTAGGGCATCCAGAATCCAGAACAGTTTATCAAAATACTTGAATATATCCTACCGCCTTACGCGGAAGAGAAGTTTCCTTTGAGCTGGAATCTTCAGTAAGACACTTGTCTTCAGCGTTCGTTTATTTTCTCCAGAAATTGGTACTTAAAAAAAAAAGTTAAAGCGTCTGGTTGGCCAGATTGAAGTCATGGCCTAAACTTCATAGAATCACTGTGGAAGGCCACCAGTGAGTAAAAAAAAACCGGATGCTACTAGGAATTTAGTGAGATCAAAAAAAGTTACACTAGGATTAAGGTACGCGGGTTTGAGGATTTGGTAGGCTCACTGTAAAATAAAGTACAATAAGTGATAGGTTGAAAGGTAAATACCAGGTTTGTGCTATATATTGGAATCTTTTCCAGTCTATCTTGCCATTTAAACATGTGATACACTCTAATATTGACGTCTCGTATTCTGTCAACCCCGCTCATTGGATGTTTAAAATTAACAGATTGGATAATTCGTGCAGAAAGAAGCCTGTTTCTAGCCTGTTTCCGACATTTTTTTTGGGAAATTTTTTCAGTCATTCTTCTTAATTTGCATACTTATTGCAGTAATGAGGCGAATAAGAAGAAACTGTAGCAAATTTCAACAAATATTATTTTACCCTGCACTTTATGCCGACGATGATATCGAAATTGATCAATTTTTGTCATAATGGTCATCTCCTCTTCCTTCTACTCCATTACTGCCACCGCCTCTGGAGACGTACAAATTGTTCGTCATGTGCTGGTCAATTAGTTCATTCCGGTAGTATCGTATGTACTTTGCAGTATACTCACTTAACGTTTGTCAGTCGTCGAAAACCGTTTCGGTTACTTGGTTGTATTCTTTGGGTGATGACTTCGATGATCGTTTTCCTCACTGATTAGCCGTATTTGTATCCAGTCGGAAAACTGTGAATTAGAAACTAGTAGTTTTTTTTTTTTTTCTTGTAGCTTCTTCGTTTTCGGAATCCTTTCAAAGAAAAGAGAAGCAACTTCATTGGTTGTCATGTATTTGTTTTATTCAACTTAATGAAAACAAAAAAAAAGAAAACCATTGAGGGTGTGAAACAGAATTGGGGGAAGCGGACGAAACAGGAAAAGAGCTGGAAGAGTAGAGGCGAAACGGAAAAGTCGAAGAACTTGATAGGGGGTTGTTTTGAAAAAAAAATTTTTCTTTAAACGATTATTTTAGTTGGCAAAGATGAGGGGGGAGGCAAAAAAAGGAAAAAAAAAAAAAGGAAGAACGGAAATACAAAGACTATCTTCACGATTTACCAATAGTACTATTTTTTTCAGCTCAGTTTCTGCTGGAGTCATTCTGTTTATAGTTTTGTTTCTTCTATTTTTTTTTTTTTTTTTTTTTTTTT